TATATATATATATATATATATATATATATATATATATATATATATATATATATATATATTATATTAATCTTTAAACTGCAGCTGTTTGCAAAACAATGTGATAACATACATGCCACAGAAGTGTCCTAAGCTGACCAGGAATGTGAAATAGCAGATGGCAGAAAGAGTCACTGAATTCGTGTTGCTAGAGGCAATGGAAAATACAAAAGTGAAGGAGCACTGGAGAAAAAAAGAATAGAACGCACAAATAAGCTTGTCTAGACGGCCCGACGGAAACCCGGGGATCAGGTGGCGACAGGGTGCAGGTCCGCCCACCTTCCATCATGTGATCTGCTCCAAGGTAAAGATGAGATAGATGGGTCACTGAGCCACTTCCCCTACTGACTGCACCCCAGACACGACCAGGAAACATCCACTGCCTATGGGTCTAAAAATGGGCTGTCCATATGTTGGCTTGTCCCTCAAATGTACTCTGAATAGTATTTTGGGGATTAGAGTCCATTAATGGATTGCCTTGGGCCAGATTTCAACCATGTGGTTTCATGGAGGTATTGCTGTCTTCACACAATAAAAACAAAGACTAAGCCACAGATCCAAGTGCATTATTAATGATCCACATAGCTGGCTGAGTGAGATGAAGATATGTAGGCTGGCCCTTTAAGATGCCTTGCACATGCATTTTAAATGTGTCATAAGCGTCTTTGTCTCGGTGGTGTCCGTTTGTGAGCAGCTTTCCCTTGGCAGCGTGTTCGCCGATCTCTGACCAGAGGAGACTTCACGTGGTTCTGTGAGATCCGCCGGGAGCCGTCTTGAGGCTTACAGTGCCCGGGGGGTATTTTGTGACTGAGGGACAATTGAAGGCACCTCATGAACTAAGTCGGACATGCTTCCCTGAACCACATCTCATCAGTGCGCACTCAATCCCTCACACAACCCACAAGTGCATGCAAAGTCACCTGTTTCGTTTAGATTACAACCAACGCAAGACTGGATCGAAATAAAAATACACAACAACACTATCACGGTAACAGCAGCTACTGTTTATTATCATATTACACCCTGCAACTCTCATGGGCATCAAACATAAGCGCTAACAGGACTGACGGACTCCATATAATTAAACACCACACATGGGCCCAGGCAACTATTACATTCTTCTTGTCGGTATGTAAAACGTAAATAAATAACTGATATACGACGCTGCTGTGGAGCGCGGTAATAAAAATAAATCAAGCCCCCCTCCGACTCGATTTAAAGTGCCTGCTTTATGTCGGTCTGGCCTGCTGTCGGCAGACAGGTAATATAACACGGTCTTAGGAGCACGTTTTCTGTTTAGAAATAGATGGTGTTTATAGCCTGTCCCGTCTTTAGGTAAATTGGGAAAGACCCTTTTGATGGATAACATTTGCATAAATAAAGGAGCGGAAGTATTATTGCAAAGCATGGAGGGGAAAGAACCAAACAAGCAAAACAAATTAGAGATAAACAGCAGACATTTAACAGCTAGCCTTAACGCAAGACCATTTACATATGCAATGTAATTTGCCACCAATTCCACTTTTCAAATGCATACAGTGATATGCGGCTATAAAAAGGAAAATCTAGTAAATTGAAAATATAAGTAAAACTTAAATAATTTAAAGTATTTATCATACATTTAAACAGATGCATACCGATCTTTAATTCCAAACGTTTAATTCAGTATTTTTTTAATAAACTGGAGGCTACTATACAAATTATACATATAACAACCGTAGCTCTGCATTTGTTTACTATGCAGACAACAGCAAACTTTCTCATGGCATATTGAAAATTAATGCCGAGAAACACCCACTGGGCGATTTAATAGATTTACCACTGAGGCACCTACCGGTTTGTAGCGGGGTACCATCATGATCCACAAAGCTTGGAACTTCCCCTGGAACCTTCATAAACGGATTAAATTGTTACTATTTCTATTTATTCACCGATGGGTACTCGGTGCACTTTCTCCAGGGCGTCGTATTGTTCGTATGTGACTACATGTACGTAACCGTAAGGACTTCTGTATTTTTGGCTTCCCTAACAATAAACGCGCATCGCATGGATGTAGTGCGCTGTTGTCCTGAACATCCCAGTAAACCCGACATCCTGTGCAAATACATCCTATTATTTGACTGACGCCGGCACACACGCACATTATTTGGTCAACTGCCAAGCATAATTGATAGTCTTATTGCCGTGCGGTCTCCCTTCGGCTCACTGGAGCTAGCCAGGGTGCTGAAGGAAAACCAGACAAATTTACACAGAAACGGAGAGACAGATCGTCTTTCCCCCCAACTCCAATTATTGCACTTAAGCACATATCACAGACTGGACACACAATCAGCAAGAGGTCATGTATAGCGCTACATTCAGAATGATCTATTGTGGGCGTGGTGTTAATGTTAGCTAATGATCGACAGCAATCTGGACGTATTATAACCTTAATTTACGTCTTCCATAATCGCTCGACTGGATAATTGGCTGGATAATTTAATATTTAAGCCTAAGCGAATGGCAACGCTGGAGAAATGTAATGCAGAGAGAGGTATTTACATCCAATTTTTCAAATTATAAGTAAAACAGTACCAGAAAAAAAACGATAGAACAGCGCAAATTAAAGTTTTCGTGCAACAAAGGCTACGCTGTGTTACGCTACGTTTACCGTGGAGGAGAGGAACGCTATCGCCCCCTAGAGCTCACTGTAATAATTTCAAAACGTATAAAGCTTAATTCGGTCATGCGACCCCTGCTCCTCTAAACAAAAGCGACCAATGACCATGCATTCATTCTTAGGTAGACAGATTTACATTCCTGTGCAGTTTACTGCTACATTGCGATAAATGTACAATGCTTTTATTATAGCATAGTCATTATATTCAACTTCATGGTTCATTTATCGCACAAAATTCACTCCGTTAAATATTCACTTAAAGATAATATTATTACTATTGATGTATTACTATATATTTGTAGATATACGACGTCTTATATTAACTAGCAAGTTTTCCTGCACAATCAAACATCCATCAATGCATTAACATAACTGAAAAAGAAAAATACAAACCTCTTCCTTTATCCTAATTATTAAAAACAACATAGTGACATGCACATAAACCGTAGCAAACTGTAGTCGTCCTTTATTAAAATTCAGAAAACTCAAATAGAAGGCTGTAAATGAAAAACGGTAAATAAATGTCTGTGCACACAGGCAAGCAAGCATTTCAATCGAGACTTATTTTATCATTGATGGAGAGAATGCACAGATGCAGATCGCCACAATAAATCATTGTCATTTATTAAAAGTACAGATCGAAAGACATTAAGGTACATCGAGATCCACCGTCAACAGAAAGGATGAGAATGGTGATCAATCTGAAGAGTTTCAGACAAAATTTCTGCAGAACACAAAAGCCAAAAGGATACATTAGATGTGAAATCTATAAACCTATAAAAGGATTCTTCTGAAAACAATGAAATGTGGCCACGTTGACATACAATAAATGATCTATTGTACTCCCTACTAGTAGATACTGCAGATGACTCTCACTTGTTCATTTTGGCAGGAGAGAAAAATTATCCAAGTCTGTGTGTTTCAGTCAAGGCAGCACAGTCCAGCAGTCAGTAGGTCTATCTGCTCTGGATGTCACATGTCTGATACCTTTCACAGACGCACCACATGCAAACAAGTTGAAGAACACTGCTTTGATGGTGCATCAGACTCGCAACTCATTGCAACAAACAATTCACACAGTAAATTAATCAGCACAACAGCATTTAAGCTTTATTAACAAGCTTTCCCTGCATTCAGCTTAGTAAGTCTAACTAGATATCTTACGGTTAAGGAAATTAAAAAGTCCGCAGGGAGCTTGTCTGAGTTTGGGCAAGTGGTTGGCAGCTGCAGAAGGTGTCTTAAAAAAATGTCCTGTAATAAAATAAGAAGAGAATACAGACACGGTCAAAGCAATCTGTCACCAAACTGTGCGCTTATATCTTTACACGTTTCTGACATAAATACCTGGCTAGGTAACATGCATTAAGTGCAAAATAAGAAACTGCATGCAGTGAAAACGTTCTTCTGACAGTGTTTTTATGGTATAAATGTGGATTATGGACAGGTTCTGCATGGACACTGATTCTTCCTGAGAGAACACTTCTTAACACTTACACATACTGAACAATAAATGGCGGTTGAAGGCTATGCTCTCACTACCGCCACAAGCATGCATATTTCGGCAAGTGCACACATCAGTACAGCACAATCAGAGAGCGTCACAAAGTAATGACCAAAACAGGCAGCACGCGGTGAAGGATGGACTTGTCAAGCACTGAAACAGCCCTGTATGAGTCATTACAGAGACCAGTCCCTTTCGACAACATCAATCAGAGCAACTGCTGACAATGGGAAATGGGCACGCTGTGAGAATTTGTCGCTGTATGCTCGGAAAAATTATTCACACCTGACTTTTACTGACTTATCACAATCAATTCCCCAGGATAGAGCCCGAAGTGGTAACTTTCAAAGCAATGACTTCACTATGGTCTCTCGATACTAATGTATGTCGACCCATTCAATCCATTCCATTGCAGATATTGTCAGGCTGATATTTTCTTCTTTTGGCTTCTTGAACACATTCATTTTAAATGTACATGACGCAGACTGCACCATCCTCCATGTTTCTGTCTAAACCCCTCAGTGAAAGCAAGGGCCAATGTAAACACAGTATGTACAGGTCAGGCAGAGAGACCGTCCTGTCCGCATGACGCATACAGGCACGTTTGCCCTCCCACCGCAGTCCTGCGCTACCAAAGGGGCGGTTACCCTTTCCGTGCGCATGCCGCTACAGCTGCAGAAGGTAGCCTTGTCGGTACACGGAGGCGGAGCCTTTGAAAACCCGCCCCTCTGAGGTGGGACTGACTGATGCTGCTTTAGAGCTAAATACACGTGGGACAGGTCCAATGTGATCAATGACTATCTATCCATCACCATTGTCCCACCAAACACATTCACATAATACACAGAATATACTACACAATGAAGACAAGAAGTGTTCTACTATGTGGAAAAAGGTTTCTCACAATTAAAGCTAAAATTACTCAAAATTAGTGCAACGTCAAATAAAATATTTAGCATGGGGAAAGCGTTGCCTTTCCGTGATCTGTTCTGGACTGACACTTGTGTTGCAGGGACTGTGCTTCCATAGGCAACGAAGGGTTAAATGACTTAAGCAAGACACGGAGGAAACACGTACACTTCATCCTCGTACTCCTTCGGAGGTGACACTGCAATCACTAGGTCGATCCAGTCCTGCGAGTAGATGAGGGGCAAACAGACAGAGACGTAAACACAAACACAGAGAGACACACACATACAAGCATGCATTAATAGTTGCTTACCCTGGGATGCATTTCAGATGAACTGCTGTCTAAAGAAAATCCACTGACAGTGTCGCTTAATGAGTTAAGAAAGGCTGTCTTCAGAATCACCTCTAGCGGCTATTTTGGTGAACAGTGAACTGTATTTCACCCCTCCTGAATTCACTTATGGTGGCTCAGTAGGCAGAACTGTTGTATCACACCTACAGGGTTGGGGGTCTGATTCCTGTGTTCTGTTCTCTCTCAGTGATGCAGAGGTACTCCAGTCTAGATAATTACAGTTGGACTAACCGGCATTCTTAAACTGCCTATAGTGTATGAGTAAGGGGGGCATGTATGTGTCCTATATTGTACTGGCAGGGCTGATGGAGGGGTATGCAGACCCTGACAGATTCTGGGGGCTCAGCACTTGACAGAGGCCCCTGGATAAGTAAAATTATACGTAAAAATCCAGACCAAGGTTTTGTTTCAACCAACCAGTTGAGTACTATGTGACTGTGACTCTTTATACTCAACTGGGTGGTTGAAACAAAACCTTGGTCTAGATCTGTAACTTTCTGGAATTGAATTTTCCACCTCTGGAAGTGATTTCCCACAACTGCGCATAAACACATCCCAACTTTCACAGAGAGACCCTCCTTTCAGAGCAACGGCAGTGCTCCTACCCCACCGCTGTTCCATGCTCTGGCTAAAGCGTTCTGGCCTTCACTCAGGGCAGCATCCGTCAGGATCTTTCCATTCACAGCCAAGATTTCGTCCCCCTTCACTATTCCACCTGGCAACAGACATGCGTGTTCTCAGTGTCAGTCAAAATCACTGGTGACCGATTTCGGTAACTACGGTAACGCCTGGCTTGGCTCTGATAAAACATCAAGACCACAGCAATCAAATGTGCTCATTAGTCTTACAGATATGGTATAGTGAAGACACACATTCAGTATATTTTTCAGTGCTTTACTGTCTGGGACACTTCAGTATGAAGTTCTAGCATTATAAAACAATCTGTTTAAATTCACTACAAAAATTTCAGAAAAAGTAAAGCTGACAATAAGAAAATAAATTGAAGCGGCTAAATTAACACTCCTCTAACATAAAATGCAAGAGCAGAGACAACAAGCCGTGAAAGATGCTTTTGTGGTCATTTGCAAACCTGATGTATTCTGGTAATAGAATGAGTTTGCAATGTGTTTTTTCATCTCACCCAATATAAACCATGCGCCAAGGCAGAGCAAAATTAAATTGGGTTTTTTAAATATGCAATTTGCAGAGTGAAAAACGGCACTGGTGCACTGCTGTGATGCATCATTCACACGCAATCTGCTGCTTGGCGACTAAGTAATTTAGCTACTGAAGATTCACACGCTCACCATGTTTGTCTGCAGAGCCGCCCTCATAAATGGTAGATACCACTAGCTTTCCCAGGGGTGAATCTATCCCCCCCTCCACAGCAAGATCAAGTGGACCATCCTAAGGAAAAGAATTACTGAACACTAGAGATCAACTAACCACTATGCGTTAAAATGAATATTCTAGCTTTGGACCATAAGAAATGTTTAATTTCCCATTCCATGTTCCTTCTCCGTGCTCAGTAGGCCTTCATCTTTATTCCAAACAGTTTTAAATCACCAAAATTAATCACATTGAAGAAGATTAACCTGGCAGTATTTACCTTCTTAATTCTGAGCAGCCGCACATCCCGACCTGATATCTGCTCTGGGGTGAACTGTTAAAAAAAGGCACGAGAACGGAGAGACAATGAATCGTCATGGTAACAATGAGACAACAGGCGAGCGGCGCAGGGTTATTCAACTCAACCATTCAACCAGCAGGCCTTTGTGGATGTGCTTGTCACTGTCAGTATGCCAGACCCTCAAAGCTGAACCGCATCCCAGAAGCCTCAGCAGGGAATGCGCTACCCCAAGCCCCAGAGAAGCTTTACGGTTACTGCTATAGAGCAGTGGCATCCTGCAGGGATAGTAATGTTTATAAAACACTCTGCGATAAAGTCAAGGGAGAGCAGCATACCATGGAATAGGGGTCGAAGTCCTCCACATACTTTTGGAAACCCTGAAAGAAAACGATAAATTCTGTTTGCTTATAATTCGGTATGATGTGTAGGATCTCAAAGGAAATGAAAATAAAAACAATTACCCACACACAAAAAGCTTATTGACTGTTTCCTGCATCTGCTCCTCTGAGCTCTACTCTAGTTTGCATCATGTCGTGCCTCGATTCAGGGTGCCAGCTGTGAGATGTGCTTCTCCGCAGTCTCACCGGCTTTTATCAAATTTCCCAGCACACATGCACAGGTGGCCGGCACTGGAGTGGCAACGTATCTCGATTCCTTTTGACAACCCTTTGACAGAAATTCAGGTTGCACTGAAAATAAGTAACTTTAAATATGAGAGCCCCATCTCCAATAAAATGAATGGACCTTAAAAAACTCTCACAGGAGAGCTGAGGTACTGAGCAAATAAATCAGAAATGCCTTAAACCACACTGCCAATTTAATTTAAGCTGATATTTAATTCAAGTGATATATTCGGTAATGACTTGATTTGTAACTAAAGACATATATGGGACTAGCCAGAGGTTTATGTAAGATTCGAGACAGGAGAAGCACATGGAAACAGGTGAGACAGGGATTGGGGAATGGGGTTGGTACACAAGAAATCGAAAAAGGGGGTTAGTCGCAATAAAATTCACACACTTAAATGGGTGGGAAGGACCAGATCTGAATAAGTGGGCATATCATATGACCTATCACCTGACTCATCACATGACTTGGGCATATCATATGACCTATCACCTGACTCATCACATGACTTCACCTCCTCTCAGGATATCCACACACGTGTTCCCTATACTTTTGAAACCTAAACCTGAAATTTACCAAGGCTAAAAAGATGCATTACAGCCAGGTACTGTACTGTAATTTCCATTTCAAAGTGCTGTTGCTGCCTGACTCTATGTTTACACTTGAGGGCACCAATACAAACCGTCCCTTTATGATTGGATTCAAGGTCCTGCCAATGTTCTGGATTCATTCACCAGGCAGATGTGATGAGCATCAAATAAACCTTTCTATTACTGAGCAATTAAAGTCTGATTTTTGATGGAATTAAACAGACCATCTGGTTGGAGATGGTTGGCTAATTACATTTAAGTAAAATTGGTATGATGTCATTAGGTAATTATTGTAGCTAGATTACATTGGCTGGTGAGATTGAGGGGCAAACTTCACAGAAATCGCAAGATCAGAAGTGTGTGAGGATTGTGCTGAAACCTGACTGAGAAATCCATCCAAACCTCTTCCATGCAGGGTCACATGACACGTGGAGACTATCGCAAAAGGCAGCGGGCAGGGGACACTGCAAACAGAATGTCACTCAATCACGAGCCATGCTCACGCAAAGCCCAACACACTACTAACATCTGACTGACGTGTGGGTTTGTGCTGTAGTTGGAAACAAAAGTACCTAGAGGAGACCCATGCAGAAACAGAGAGAACACGCAAATCCTACACACACATAGCTGGAGATGGGACCCAGCCACCAACCCTAGTGGGTATGAGGCAATGGTACCATGCCAACCATGGTATGGAGGTCTATCTCAACAAGGTGACTGCAGGAGACATCACAACCAACTTTAAGGAGAGCCGAAAGTGACTAATCCAGAGCCACAGTGACAATTTTAGCCAGCCAGTTCGGACGGCTGTCAGATTGCTGGGAAATTTAATTACTGTGATTGTGCACTTTGGGCTGCGAGGGGTGTTTATCTGGGGGGGGAAAAGGGGAAGCTCCATTATAGGGAGCACGTTTCCTATTAAGGAGTCATGCACTTTTTGGGGGGGGGGCACTGGAAAAAATGTGGAACAGACAAATCTAGGCTTAAAAATGAAACGAGTCAGGGGAGATGACATCTCATAAATGAAGAAGTAGGAGTCATTATTACTGTGATGTCGCTTAGCAGATATTTACCAATTTTACAGTTTTACACATCAGTGATTTAGAGTTTAGAGAAACTATAGAGGTTTAGGCAGTAATTTTCTTAATTTAAAGATTATAGGCGTGAAAGAGACTGACCAGCAACCATTTTTTAAATGTGAGGGGCTATACTGTTTTAGTGCAAGCACTATTTTGGGCCTAGCTTTAGAGAACGGGAGCATGCAGGAGCACTGCATTCTGGGGAAAAAGCTTAGTCACGTCAACCAGAATAGCACACAAGAAGAAACACAACAGTGCATTTAGGGTCCTTATACACAGCATCATAAAGACCCCACACTGTAAAGAGGAGTCAAGGGTTATAAAGCACAAATCTCATTCAGGGGCAGGCGGTCTACTTGGATTACTTGTTTCCTGTTGGACCTGAAAGAGGTGTTGTACACCACCATCCGTTTCAGCATCTCCGGGGGCTGGAATGCAGGTGGAGACACCAGCGGTTAGGGCTGCCGATGAGACAAGGCGCCAAGCTGGGAAGGTGTTTGTGAAACAGGGTCACCTAGCCAGAGCTAGCACCGAAGACGGTGAGATTAATGCGGCCAACATGCAGTTTGTAAGGATAATCAGACATAGCGACATGGGAAAAATGGAAGAACTACCCAAGTAAAGAGGTCTTGGGGGGTGTCTATCTGAGTCACCTGGGAGAGTAACTACAAGTGACCAGAGTATACATCTACTAAAAGTGTAACGTGACAGGGACAGTTTACTTCTGAGACTTAATTAGGCAAGACACTGTGTTTAATGAGAATGAGGAGGAAAGTTCCAGGTAAAGAATCCATAGAAGATCCATCATTATTTTCTCCATGGATATCCAACTATTATGTGGAGGCAGTACACTTTCTTGGCTTTAGAATGAAATATCCAGTTGTAGTAAAGCCTATAGATCTCCCCAAACACTTGACAAAGTTCCTTATGGTGTTTAACTGCTTCAGGTAACCTTAGAAGGCACTTTAATTGTAATCTCAGACATCATGCCTGAACCCGTCTTTCTGAATGGGGTGTGAGAAACACAAGCGGGTGGGTGAGGGGTGGCAGCGACTGGAATGGTCAGTTGTGAAAACTGACATGTAAACAGACCATAGAGATGGACAGAGAGACAGGAAGGGGGAGGGCCTTACCAGGGCCTCGGACCGGAGGGTGGGGCCACGTGTAGTCTGCGAGGGGGGGAGCATGACAGGCTTGGACACAACTGGGGACACCTGCCGCCGCTGGTTGGGGGGGCTGGGGGCAAGTTGCTACCCAGTGGACCGCGTTACAAAAAAAAAAAAATGCGGATCATGGGGGGAAAGGAGCCCTGGCGGTACTCACACATACAATATATCAGCGTCATCACCTAGGCAACCTGCATCACTGCATCTTGTTTGGCAGTACAATGATAGGGATCCCAGTCTGGGACACTGTAATCTACAGCTTCCGGTTAAAACATTCATTTTTATAACCCAAGTTTTGGATGTAGTCCATGTCTCTCTGAAAAAGGACTATGCCCAAAACAAATCAAGCACTCGTGTATGACACCTTCCCTGCCTTCTGCTGCCTACGCACCAGTGGATTACTGGCCGTGGAGATCCTGCTGGCGTGAGACGTGCTTCTCATAACCTGCACAGTTAAATGGCAGCAAAACACAGAGAGCAGCTGGGTCACACGGCTCGAGGAAATATGAGGGGTGAGCAGCAAACAGGACGTGCCACTGCAAAGCACACGATGCTATTAGGGCCCCGAGGACAGCCTGCCACCCCCCCATAGGGAGAAAATGTCTCTAGCTTAGGAGAATCAGACTTTACTTTGTTATACCAACCCCAGAAAAGTCTATATTAGCCTTTAAAACTCATTTTGCTAAAAACACCACACTCGTGTGTGTCATGATTATAATTCAAATCACATCAAATCACTTTCCCTGTCACATCACTTGACACTTTGTAAGCACAAGTGGGTGACTTTTGTCCCACAGCAGTGACGAAGTAGTGCAAATAAGACCAAACATAACAAAAAAGGGACAATGAATACTGCATAAAAACCCGAAGTACTATTAAACACACTGCATTTAAAGGAAAGAGCTAAGAAATGGACACTACCTTTGGGCTGGGGGGGTAGGACTGCTCACTGGGACTGACCATGTGGAAACCGGCCCTCGGCCTGTAGGCATCTTGGGTGACAGGGTGATGGTAACTGCTAGTCCCGAACCTGTCCTTGGGGGGGGCAGGGCCCGCATGCTGGGGAGGTGGG